CGGAGGGCCCCTTGGCCTGCAGAGACGCTGGCCTCGAGCGTCCCCGGCTTCGCCCTCGGCCCCCAGGGGCATCCCAGAAGTGGTGGTGACGTCTCCATCTTGTGGACAGGACAGTGGGGCTCTGTGTCCCAACCACTTCCCTTCATGTTCGTTTTCTCGCTTTCTGGCAGGATGAAGATGTCTCCTTCCTTCTTAGGCTGGGTCAGCGACTCTGTCCCCCCACTCCCCGTGACTTGTGAGGCTCTGCATGACCTGGTCCGCCTTCCTCGCCCACTCACCCCCACGTGGTAGAGCCCGCTGGCCTGCTCTCAGTCCCTCCAACTCACCAGAGGCCTCCCTCCAAATGCTCTGCCCCCACCTATACCATCCTATGGCCCAGTTGAGGTGACACTCCTCAGATACGCGCCGAACCACCAAGGTATGGCCATCCGTCCACTCTGTTGTTCTCCTTTTCCCCATTCTTGCCCTTCACAGCACCCGCTGCAACTTGAAATTACATGTTTATTTGGAAGTTTATAATGTTTTTATGATCTTTATGATGTTTATGGCTGTCTACTAGATTAGAAGCCCTAAGTGGTAGCAACTGTGTTGGTTTACTCTCCCACATTCTTCATGCTGGCAAAGGCCTGACCTAGCAGGGCCCTCAAAGGTGTAGGATGGGAGGACGAATGCAAGAAGTCACAGCTCCTTGAGGCCAGCCTCCCTAGGGTACCCTTCTCTCCAGGTTTCTCCAGATGGCAGCCTCCAGGGCAGTGCTGAGGCCCCCGGGGCCTATGTCTTCTGACTCCTCCTCTTCTCCCTCCAACCCTCAGCATTTCCACAGTGAGGACAAGGGTCTGTGCTAGACACAGAGAAGGGCCTGAGGACTGCTGGCCTCCAAATGCACCCAGCAAGGCCCTACAATGCTCAGGGGAAAATTTCCTTCTCTCTGCCTCCACCACAAGGTCGCAAGGGAGGTCTCTCTAAAAGTTCCCAGTAGACACAGAAATGCATGCGCACAAAACAACTCTAGAAGGGAAAAACTTTGTAAACGTCTCTGCCATTTTAGTGTCATGTTACTGAAACTTCCCTTCCCTTATGGCTCAGTTCAGGGTCTTTTGTGTGAGGTCTTTAAACAACAGTGTTTTCGAGTCCTCAACAGCAGTGAGGTGGGACCCTCTTAGGTCCTGCCTGCTTCTGTTTCAGTCTCTTCTCACTCAGGAGAGTCCATGTTTTCCTACGGGACTCACTCAACTTGGGTAGAAACAAGAGCACCTGCCATCTTCAAGAGAGGCAAACAGGCTTTGCCCAGGACACCCGGGGCTTTAGGGCATCTTCCAAGAAGCTCCATCCACCTGGAAAGCTCTTCCTTCCAGACTGGCTCTCTCACTTGCAATCCCTCCTCTCAGCTCAGGACTGTGTTGGCCCCAGGTTTGGCTTCAGCAGTTCCCAGGACACCAGATGAGCACATAGCCTGGGCCCCAACTGCAGCAGTTATGACCCCAGCTTCCAGATGGGAAGAGGTGGTGCTCCCAGGGCCCTAGGTCCTGCCCCGGCTTCAGTCAGTACACAGCAGTGGCTTTCCTGAGATCTTCAGGTCATCAAAGGGCAAAAGGACAAGGGGCTGAGAAGGAAAATGAAGAGAAGCAAGATCAGGGGACATGGGAAAGGCAACATGGGAGAAGGGACCCAGGGAAACCTGTTGGCTACTCCCTCCCCACCAAATGACAGTGGAAGACCACCAGGGAACAAATGTTCATACTAATCCACAAAATAGTGGGGACTGACTGAGCCCTGAGGACTTAGGGCTTTTCTAAGGTAGCTAGAACAATGTAGCTAGGAGGGGCCTCAGAGGTGATCTAGCTCATGCACTTGGGTTTTCTTTTTTTGTTGTGGGAGGGAATGGATATTCACAAAACGTTCTGAGTACAGAACGTTCTGTTTTTTACATTGAGTACAGTATGTTCTGTTTTTTACATTGAGCATTTAAGAATAGGAAAGACTGTATAGAAAAGCTGGGTTTCACCTCTCAAACAATCCCAAAGACTTGGAAACACTGGGCCTATATTTCTCCTCTGCAAGCCTTTGCTGAAGCTGAGTATGGAGACCCTCAGAGCTGGCTCTCAGTTGCCCACAGGCCTTACTGATTCAAGATAGCTGCAAGGTCCCTATAAGAGTCCAAACTTGAGCTGGCTAGGTGGCTCAGCCTGTAATCCTGCACCTTGGGAGGCTGAGGTGAGTGGATTGCCTGAACCTGCGGGTTTGAGACCCGCCTGGGCA